ATCAGCATCGGTGTAAGCCATGATGTGATTTGAACCATTCTTCTTCATAAGTATTCCTCTACCTACTGAGCTCTTGAGATAACAAAGTATTCTTTTGACAATTTCCCAGTGAACTAGTGTAGGAGGGTGCATAAACTGACTGGCTAGGCTTATTAAATAAGAAATATCAGGTCAAGTAATGGTGAGATAAATGAGTTTCCCAACCATTCGCTGATAAACACTAGGATCCGAGAGAGGTTCCCATTTTTCATGCAACTAAAGTTTGCTAGCTAGAGGGGTCCGAGCTGGCTTGCACTCCATCATGCTAGCTTTATCCAAAAGATCTAGAACATACTTTCTTTGATTCAAGAATAACCCCTTGGAAGATGTGGCCATCTCAATTCCAAGAAAGTATTTTAGGGTCCCCAAGTCTTTAATGGCAAATTTTTGATGAAGTGATTGCGTAAGAGTCGTGATTTCACCCACATTATCACCTGTAATAATAAGATCATCAACATATATAAGTACCATTAATTTCCCTGTATTACCACTTCGAACAAACAAGGAAGAGTCAACATGACTCTTTTGGAACCTTGCAGCTTCAAGAACTGAACTAAGCTTCGAATACCAAGCTCTAGGGGACTGTTTGAGACCATATATGGCTTTATGAAGTTTGCAGACCTTGTTGGATTCCTTTTCTCTTGGATGACCTGAAGGCAACTTCATGTACAGTTCTTCTTCAAGCTCCCTATGAAGGAATGCATTCTTCACATCCATTTGGAATAAGGGCCATGCATTATTGACTGTCATAGATAACAATACCCTCACATTATTCATTTTGGCAACTGGAGCAAAGGTCTCCTTGTAGTCAATGTCATAGGTTTGTGTAAACCCTTGGGCTACTAATTGTGCCTTGTATCTCTCAATGCTTCCATTGGAGTTGAACTTGATCTTATATATCCACCTACTTCCCACTGCTTTCTTGCCCTTTGGAAGATCCACCACACTCCATGTCTAGTTGTCATTCAGAGCTTGGAGCTTTTGAGTCATAGCATCTTTCCACTTAGGCATGCATGAGGCTTCATGAAAATTTCTTGGTTCAAAAGTGTTGGATAATTTGTTAAGAAAAGAAACATGAGATGGTGGGAATCTGTGGTAAGAAATGGCTGCGAGATAGGATGCCTTGCAGTGTAAGTAATGTACTCTTGCAACCTTACTGGTGGATGTCTATCTTGTGCAGGATTTCTTCTTGGTGCACTTATAACTTGCTGAGTTGGTTCAAGTTCTGATGGTCCTGAGGAGCTAGGTATGCCCTTACTTACACTTTTAGTGGGGTGAGAATTCTTAGTGTTAGTATAGGCAGGAGTGACTTCATTAATTTCTGCTGGAGTCGGCAGCAAGATTTTCCCTATTGGGATTAGTCTTTAAACCTTTGTGGAAATAAGGTGAATATTCATCAAATCGAACATCTCTAGAGACTGTTAGCTTTCCAATATTAGGATTGTACACCTTGTAAACCTTTTGAGAACTGGAGTATCCCATAAACACACATTTGATAGCCCGAGGGTCGAGTTTATCACGATGGGAAGCTTGAATGTGCACATAACATGTGTAACCAAAGGTCCTGAGGTGAGACAAGTCTATAGACCTGCCTTTCATGACATCGAAGGGAGATTTAGTATTCAAAACACAAGTTGGCAGTCTGTTAATGATGTAAGTGGCAGTGAGTAGGGCTTGAGACCAAAATTTCTTGGGAACATTCATTTGGATCATAAGTGATCGAGTCTTTTCCAATAAGTCTCGATTCTTTCTCTCTGCCACACCATTTTGTTGTAGAGTACCAACACAGCTAGTTTGATGCAAAATGCCATGAGTGCTCAAGTAACTACTGTTATTGGAAGTGTACTCGGTGCCATTATCTAATCTTAACATATATAACTTAGATGAGAAATGATTTGTGATTAGGTTGTGAAGTCTTTAAAAGCATCAAACAACTCACTTTTAAACTTTAAAAGATACAACTAGGTCACTCTAGAATAGTCATCAACAAATGTAACATAATATCTATACCCATTAAAGGATTCTACCCTAGATATCTGAGTGAGTAACCTCAAAAAGTCTACTGGTTCTAGAATTAAAGGAAACAAAAGGAAGCCTAGTAGCTTTTGACATTTGACAAGTTTCACATTCAAGTATGTTTTTACAAAAAATGGGAAACAACTTGGTCATCACAGGTTTAGAGGGATAGGCAAGACGTTGGTGCTAGAGTTGATGTTCCTGAGCTTGACTTAGGTTGACATTGAGTTTTTTGACAAATTTGGACTCCTTTGAGAGGTAGTAGAGTCTATTTAAGAAGAACCCTTCACCAATCTTCTTTTGTGTAACTCAATCCTGAAACACAACATTGTGAGGGGAAAAAATGGCAAGACAATTTAAAGTTTTAGTGATTCTTCCTATGAACAAGAGCTGAAAAGGAAAGGAAGGTACATAGAGGGCAGTGGAATTAGTATGCTCACTCAGCAATCTAACTTTCCATTTCCCTAGAATAGGTTCCCCTTTCCCATTTGCAACAGACACATGAATTGGATCACTGGTTTTTTGAAATTCATGTAGACTAGAGGATTTATTAGGTATATGATAAGTGGCACCTGAGTCAATAATCCAAAAATCATGTGTAACATTAGCATTAAGAGCAGTGGAAATGGCACTGATTATACATGGAATATTGTCTTTCGATGTGTTTTCCGAGTCAGCCAAAAAACCAACAAATTTCCCTTGCATTGCAGTAGGGTTTTCAGTTATCACTCCCTCATGCTCAGTGCTTCCTTGCTTATTTTGAAGAAAAACTGCAAACTCATTAATCAAGGAAATAGGGTTTGTTGAGAAATTTGCCATCCCATTAGCTGAGGAACAAGCTGGGGGAAAGGCTTTTGGATTAACTCCTTTCACATCTTTGATCATCAGGCCTTCCCTATCAAACTTAGGTTTTAACTTTAGATGTAGTATCCAACTTTTTTCTCTCAAATGTCCCTTCATGTTGCAATAAGAACATTTCTAGTTTGCGTTCTTCCCAAACACTCTATCACCAGTTGTCTTGTGATTGGTTGTGAAAACCCTAGCCTCAAAGTGAGATTTGGGCTCAACATTCATCACTCTTCATCGAGTTTCTTCTCTTTGGACTTCATGACACACACTGGTAAATAAGGGCAGCTCTGGAGTCATTAACAAATGACTACGCAAGTCTTCATACTCAGCTCCCAAGCTTGCCAAGAGTTTAAACACCTTGTCTTCATCAGCCTTCTTCAAAAGCATAGCGGAATCAGTCGGGTGTGAACGGTACAAATCGAGTTCATTCCACATGGATTTCAAGCTCCCAAGATGTTGAACAAATGAATGGTCACCTTGCTTCAGACTAGCAACATTCTTCTTTAGTTGAAAGATGCGAACTGAGTTGTTTTCGCTACCATACATGTCTTTGACAGACTCCTATAGAAGAAAGGAAGATTCTGAGTTGTTGAAGAGCTCAGACAACTTTGGCTTCATGGAGTTAAGTATCCAAGACATGACCAGTTGGTCAGTAGCGTGCCATGCATCATAGGTTGATGAAGTGGATTCTGAAGACTCTAAGCTTCCATTGATAAACCCTAGTTTTGATCTTCTTCCTAAAGCAAACAACACAGCTCTTGACCAAGTAGGTAGTTGAACTCGTTCAGTAGCACCGAGCACAGTCGTTGATTTGGATTGTTCTCACCCCTTTGAGTTAAGTTTGGGGGTGAAGATAAGGAGCTATCAGCACTAGAGACATTTTCTTCTGCCATCTCTTTCGATGATGAGCAAACGAAGAAGAAAAAAAAAAAAACAGACAGAGTCAGGACCCTATGGTTCCTACTCTAATACCATGTTGAGTTTTGGTTTTAAATCTTGTATTGTATTTCTCATTCTTTTTACAAGAATGAAAGGCAACTCTTATAGAGAGCAGAAAAGAAGATTACAAGAGGAAGGCAACAGCCATACCTCACTAACAAAACAATCCTAACAAGTGGACAACACAAATATTAATAACAAGTAAAGTGGTTCCTAGAAACAAGAAAGAAAGATTGACAAAAGACCTAAGTGAGTGACAAGGTATGGAAGACTAGAGTATGGTTGAGAAAATCACTTTAACCCATACTTAGCTAGAGTGATGTTTACAACCATACTTGTGACATTTGCTTTACAACCATACTTGTATCATACAAGCAACTAGCACTAGAATTCGTTTAGTTTCAATACTATACTATTTAACCCTTTTCCTTTGATAATTATGAAATTGAGGTTCTTATTGCTAAAACTACTTTTCATGTTTCCTCTTCTATTCCCAGTCTCGGTATGAAAGATTCACTCGGACCTTTAAAGGCTCTGGTGGTTGCCAGTGCAGTGAACGGCAGTGGTCATGTAGTCCTCTGCAACTTGTTACACTACGGTATTACCGGTGAAGAATGGCCACAATGGCATCACAAGCATGTCGGATAAACATTTCCATATTTAACATATCTGGTTTTGCTTATTTAATACGTTCTTGTCAAGACATTTTTAACAACTCAGTGTTTTACACATACACATTATATAGTGCTGCCGCTGATCACCATGTGTTCCAGATTGTTGCTGCTTATACGATGATTGAAGCTCTGAAGAACAAAGGATTTACTGCCTTTTCCATCTCCGTTCCATCCCGTAGTGAATTTCTACAAATATATGGGATTGCAAGCCAGTGTTTATAACAATGTTCTCAACGGTGATGAGTGTAGGACTCACTGTGAGTCCAGCAAATATCAATGGCTGAGGAAAGCGTCACACACGATTGACGCTAGCTTTTCCTTATGCATTAACAACTTCTTGTATTTCTCTTGACCAATTTGTCAGGTTTTCAATGTAGAATATGAAAATCTAAATATACAAGTGCTTCCTATTAACCGTGTACATAATTTTGGCGTTCAAAGTTGCCATTTGATAGCTAAACATTGTATAAAGATGAGATTTCAGTTTAACACAATGTACTTTTGATTTGAAAAATGATGAATACAGATCCAGAAAAATACATGAACTACACCAGCCCCGAAATAAAACTCGCAGTCAGAATCAAGGGGTTCCAATCCCATTCCCAGTATTTTCGGAATGAGAATGGACCAGCATACAACAATAGCCAAAAGAGACTTGTAACTCAGTCAAGTAAAACTAGACTCTCGTTATACACATCAATGTATCTGCTCAAGCCATAAAAACTCAGTTCGATTCCAGTATCCTTAACCTGTTGTGATTTAGGATAATGTAAAACCAACTCTCGGCACTGCGAGTTTTCTTTTCTTGCTGCAAGATGAACGTCATCCTTTGTCGTAATGCCTAGTGGCCACGCCATCTCTCCACTTTGCGGAAGAATAATTGTGTCATTTTCCAAGTATCCCTTCCCAGAACAGAACCCATATGTCACAGTACCGATCATTCACATTTTGTCTTAGATGAAACAAAGAGAGAGATTTCTTGAGTACTTGAATACTAATTGCATTACTAGTTGTATTGATCACGCTTACTAGTCTTTCAGGAAGCGTCATGGTCTGGAAACTCTTACTGCGCAGATCAAAAGATAGGATCGAGTAGCAACACAGAGAGAAATCCTCAACAATCCAATACACAACTCCATTCAAGCATGCACTTTTATCTTGCAAATAGGCATTATGTGAAACCAGGGGAACATATGACCTGATTCTTCTCCAAGAATCCAACCTAACGCTGTAAACCTCAGCTTCGCAGATACTCTCCGCGCATCCAGTCCTCACAATTCGCACAACTTTATAATCGTTTTCTCCACAATCGAAGCCAAACCCGAGTGTAGTGATAGCAAATTGCGTGTAACAAATGAGGCATTTGGGAAGTCTTTTCATTTTTCTGATTGACGGATTCCATAGATACATACAACTATCAAATGTAGCATCAGATATGCAAATCAAACCACTGCACGAACCGAAAACAGAGAAACTGGAACTGATCAAGTCCCTAGGAAGCTCAACAGAGATTTCACAGGCAGTCTTGCAAGGATTTCGAAAAAGAGTTCAAGGCGTATGCGTTTGAACATGTTGTAAACAAAAATGTATACAAAACTCAAGTGCTTTTACCAAAACATAAAGTGCTTTCTGAAAAAGCATTTCATTTAAGAAAGTAGAAGAAATACCTCATTGATTTGATTTTATGGAGAGAAGAGGCAATGGGGAAAAGACGAGGCGAGGAAGGATATGAATAGTAGTTTGGCAGATGGAGTTATCTCCCTCCATGCCAAGAAAGCAAAGGAGATCTCAGAGCACATGGCTGCCATGTGGCGATGGTGGTTTTTATTTTTTATTCCAAGATAATGGCCAAGTGGTCAAGTTGGAGAGCTGTGAATGGGTTACTATTCCAAGCATTTGGAGTGACTTTACTTTTAATTTATTTTTAAGGGGTAGGATAATAGTCTCAACATTCACACCACATCGTATTTACTCATACCATGTGGATTTAATTTGTTTTTTTATTTATTTTAACAAACATGAAACGGTACAAAGAGATATTTCATAATGAAAAAGTTACACTCAGTTAATTACATTAAGGGGGTGGAGGATGGGCTAATCCTTACAGTGGGCTAACAATAACGTGGTTCAAATTCGCTTTTGGTGAGAATCGAACCTAAGACTTCTCACATACAAGTGAAGATGAGTACTTTCAGATCGAAATATTGAGTGACACTTAGTGAAGAGGAACATAAATCTTTTTAGGAAGAAAGAAAAATAGGACTCGTACTTAGAATGCCTAGTCGTATATGGACCGATGACAACAATTTTCGATGAATTTGAACCACCTTATTATGACTCGTCTATTGTGAGGCTTAGCCCACTCTCCCACTCCCTTAGTGTAGATAATATCGCTTGTTCAAATTCTATTATGTTTCTTTCTTATCCCTGTTGGAATAGTTTTGTAATGACATTCATATCCCAACATGTATAGGTTGAATCAATTTGCTGTTTGTTGACTGTCTACTGGAATCTAAATTTGTTGAAATCTGTCTGTGTTCGCTTAATGGAATCTAACTGCCTGAATTTATTTGCCATCCGACATCTGAATCTATATTCATCTTCCATATGTTTGAAATCTGCCTACCTGCCTGCCTATCCCACTAACGAACACTGCATCCACATTTGATTGTTGGCAAAATCATGTTGTTGCAATGAGTTTGATGGGAGTGTTGAAAAATAATAGTTTTTAGTTCTATTTTTATTGTTTGCGTTCTCTTACAAGTTTAAAACTTGGGCGGAACCCTTAGAATTAGGTTTTCTTTTAGATTAGAGTTTAGTTTATTATAAATAGGATGCTTGTTCTTCATATGTGAAGATGTCAATCAAGATGTAGTCTCTTAGATTTGTGTAGTTTTTTTTGGCAATTATGCATTTCTTTGTTTAATAAAGTTATATTTCATTAATTCAATTACAACCAAACCTATTTAAGTTGGACATAATTTGGGAAAAGAAGGTTAGTGCAAAGAATAAAGCATTTCTCTCATTTGCAAATAACGTAACTTTATTGTATAAATTTTATAATCGGGACCGTTCAATTTCTCAATCTTCATTTGAAAATCATCCATGCAAAAAATCATTTGAGTCGGAGATCGTTTAATCATCTGATGAATCAAATAAATTTAAGTACCAAGGAACAAAGAGTGAGAACGAGCTCACTATTGTTCTGGTCCAAATTAGTGTTGGGAGCAAAATACCCACTTCTATGTTAAATTTGTTGTGACCTATATTTAACTGAGTGGGGGGGGGGGACAACACAACATAGAGAGAAAGGGATAGAAAATAAGCATGAGGGATAGTGTTTTATTTCTCAATCCTTGTGCCTTAATTTATAATAATAAGAAGGAAATAAACTTGATTTTCAAATAATACAAAATCTAGAAGGAAAATATCCTCTAGGTCTTAAAGGATTTCTAATCTATCACACACTCACAATGTGTTAGAATGTGTGTGTCAACAAAATTGAAATTATTATCCATATCTTGAACGTGCCATTTTATATTTCATTTCAACTCATGCGTTCCCCTTTCGTTTTCTTTAGAAATTCAGGTGGAGCTCTGATTGGCAGATGAAGAAAACCGCCAAAGAAGAACACGAAAAGGCCGCAATCCTTCCACGAGGCACCAACCCACTTCACTTGAACTTGGACCAATACAAACCACTCGCCTTCCATCATCCTCTCCTCTCCTGTCGGACAAGGATATCCTTCTTAGCTTTTTCTTTCATTTTCCCAACTTTCTCTCCTTTATTTTCCCAGAAAGTTCCCCACTTTCCCGGAAAGTAAAAAAAAAATTCAAAAAAATGCAAACCAAAACCCTGGTAGCTCGCTCGCCTCCTCTCCTCCAAAACCCTACTCTTTTCTTCACAAACCCACCACATTTCTATTTCACCCCACGCTTTAACCACACCCCACCTGGCCTCCCCAAACTCCACTTCTCCACCCCATTACGCCGCCGTAACCGGTTCGCAACCGCCTGCATTGGCGACGGGGTTCTTATCGGAGACAATGGGAGCCATGCTTCTCCAGTATCTGAAGAAGTTGAAGTTGTGGAGGTTAAGAGAGAAGAATTGGAGAGTAAGAGCACATGGGATCAGATGAAGGAGATTGCAGTGTTTACAGGACCCGCCACTGGTCTTTGGCTGTGTGGCCCACTTATGAGTCTCATTGACACTGTCGTCATTGGTCAGGGAAGCTCTATTGAGCTTGCTGCTTTGGGTACTCTATTATTCTGCTTCACTTGTATTTTTTTATTTTTTTTATTTGGGTTTTATTGATTTATTACTTTCTTTTTTTGAACAATACAATATATATTCTAAACTACTCTAATGTATCGAGAAGAGAATTCAAACTTAGCGATGGGGCATGCAGATTGTCCTGACCAACTGGCCTAACGCACCTCCGCTTTTTCTGTATTGGTTTAACTTATGAATGCTGAGTCTGTTTACCGCTATTTTTCTAGGACCTGGAACTGTGATGTGTGATAGTCTGAGTTATGTGTTCATGTTCCTTTCTGTTGCAACTTCAAATATGGTTGCTACCGCCCTTGCTAAAGGGGTTAGTTTCTCCTCTTGTCCTGATGCTTACGTGACATTGTGGTGAATCAATTTGTATGCTTGTGTTGATTGCGAAAATGAGTTCGACGCTCCTTTTCCATGTTTTTGGTACATTTCTTTTGCCACATTGATTCAGAATATGAATTTTCTATGGCAATTTGGTGCAACTTGCCAGGAAATTAGAAAGATTCTAAGAATCGTATTATGTATTGTACAGAACATGAAGGGATGAACTTTCTTAAGCTGATTAGAACAGAGGGATTGGTTGCCAGATTAGGAAATTTTGGAATGCCTGCCAATAAATCCATAATGTGTGCTTTTTGATTCTTGTGCTAGGTCATGTGCAATATTAATCACCATTTTCTCTTAGCATGATTCTTATTATATTGTCTGACTATCTAGTATTGGTGCAGGATAGAAATGAAGCTCAACATCACATATCTATCTTGCTCTTTATTGGATTGACATGTGGCTTCGCAATGCTTATATTTACAAGATTCTTCGGTTCATGGGCATTAACTGGTAAGAGGGACTGGTACATGTTTCTATATATTCACATTAAAAGAAATATTGGGTGCTTGATTTTGTTTATTCTTATCTCATTAATGCATTTTAGCAAACAGTAAATAACAAGAGTTTTATGAGTCTGTAAAAGTAGCATAGATGAATCATGACTAATGCAATTCTGGTTTTTCAGCTTTCAGTGGACCAAAGAACGCGCACCTTATTCCTGCAGCAAATACATATGTTCAGGTCTCTTCCTTTTTCTTATTTAGACCATTTATATGCTCTTTTCTTTGAGTTGGTTACTCCTTTTTCAGAAGATACTTTCCTTTAAATCAATTACCTGGTCGAGAAGTGTTGAATATCAGAGAAATTTTGTTTTGTTTGTTTGTTTTTGTTAGAACTTGTTTTCTATGAATCATTAGAAGGTCACGTATACTTGGAATGATAATAAGCTAGACTCTGCATTTTCTTGTCAAGCTATCCTTACCCAAGAGGTTCTTTTTTTGTATTTTCCATTTTTCCTATTGCCATTTTTCCTATTTCTCATTTGTTAGGTCCACATTAATACTTGTGAACTAGGTTCTAAACAACCTATTTGCAACGTTAGTTTCTTCATGAAAAAAGCCAGCAATTGCTCAATAATATCTTGTTGGAAAGAGTGAATTTTTTCTTAATTGGTTGTTTTGATATTGCACGCATGATCTTCATGGCTGACTGTTAGCTAGTGTCTATCATCTTACGAGAATAGAGTATGGTATAGATCAACCGAAGAGGTATGCATAAAAGTATTTGCCCCAAGGAGTTATCCTAGAATTCCGTATTGACGTGTCCATTGCTCTTTTATGACTGGAAAATAGATTCATTACCATGTGTCATATACTCCTGCACATAATTTTTTCAATGGCTTTGTAATTGAACACGATATTTTCTGTTGGTAGATACGAGGTTTGGCGTGGCCCGCAGTTCTTATTGGTTTGATTACTCAGAGTGCAAGGTTAGATATTTCTTCTTCTCTTCTTATTCATTATGTACGGCATAGCTGTGCTCCTTGTTCAAAATCATCAAAAACTATACGACAATGAATATTGTTAAGTCCAAACATCTTTTTTGGGATATTAAATCTATTGGTTGAAAAGAATTAACTGCCAGAGAAAGTAAGGCAATATGTATGCACTAGAAATTCAAATTCCACCAAGTAAACATGACTGATTATATGAACTAGCATGTCAAAATTAAGTGTGAACAAGCATTCTTGTTTATTGCCTAAGTAAATGCTCTCTGGCTTGTCCAAAACAAGTATAAAGCAAGCATTTATATTTGACTCGAAGACTTATTTGTTGCCTAAGGGAAAGTTATCTCTGGCAGGGGATTTTAAATACTGAGGTTAATGAGATTGTAAGCAGCTGTGAGTTCATGTTCGTACTCTGATATTGTCAATATGTTTCCCAGTCTTGGCTTGAAAGATTCATGGGGTCCTTTGAAGGCCTTGGCGGTAGCCGGTGCTATAAATGGCATTGGTGATGTAGTCCTGTGCAGTTTTTTAGGCTATGGTATTGCGGGTGCAGCATGGGCAACAATGGTGTCACAGGTGTGTGGGACATACATCATAATATGTCATATAACGTTTGAATATTTTATTATATGTTCTTGACACGTTAATTTCCTTTTTTATTGCTATTTACTGGTATGGTTTTAGGTTGTTGCAGGATATATGATGATTCAAGCTTTGA